GGAAACCTAAAACAAACAACAGGGCAAAAGGACACCACTGGCCTACCAAAGCCCCTAATGTTAACGTAGTATTAATAAAGCCCCTAATATTAAAGTACGTCAGGTGTCCCGGCCGCAATAATAAAGCCCTTGAAATAAAGTACGCCAGTCGGGGCTTGTTGTTTTTTTGGGGGGGTTTGATTGAAGGGGGGCTCCAAGAAAGGAATCCGTATTCAAAGGGGCCCCTACTCTATTTGGGGGGGTTTGATTGATGGGGGGGGGTGGGGGTTTATTATTACTAGGTCAACATTAAACCCTAAACCCTAAACCCTATAGCCCTAACCCTAAACCCGAAACCTTTAGCAACCCTTGCAGGCCCTGAAATCTCCCCCCCCCCCCTGCAGGGCAAAGCCTCGAAGGCCCTAAACCCTCTCGCCGTAAACCCTAAACCCTATCCCTAAACCCTAAACCCTAAACCCTAAACCTTCAAAACCCCCCCCGTCCACCATGGCGAAGCCTCGAAGGCCAGCCATGGCCTCCTCTGGGACACGCGCAGCGCGTGCTGGGCGGCGGCCTGGGTGTCGGGTTTGGGGTTTGGGGTTTAGGGTTTGGGGTTTAGGGTTTAGGGTTTGGGGTTTAGGGTTTAGGGTTTAGGGTTTAGGGATGGGGTTTGGGGTTTAGGGTTTAGGGTTTGGGGTTTGGGGTTTAGGGTTTGGGGTTTAGGGTTTAGGGTTTGGGGTTTGGGGTTCAGGGTTTGGGGTTTGGGGTTTAGGCGGGTTTAGGGTTTCGGCCTTGAAGCTTCGTGGGTGCTTATGAGTAGGGTTCGAACTAATCAGAAAAGGCCTAGCAGTCCACGACTGAAATTAAAGCATGTTTTGACAAACAAACTGCTATGATGCCTCCATCTCCTCATCCACCGCCTTGGGAACTCCCTTCTTTTCCCAGCGCTTGTGCCACGCAGCACTCAAAGATCGATGCAAGCTTTCCGTCTCTCGAGCTCCTTCTCCTTGGACTTCGGAGTGAGACCCTTCAATCTCGGGCCACGCGCAGCAGGCGACTTCTTCGGGGTGCAAGATGAGTTTCACGCAGACTCTGAACACAAAGCATGTTTAACCATATGCAAACTGGTGTACCGCCAAGCCTTCTTCTTGAGTGTAGCCAGCTTTGTAACCCTACTTGTAATAAGAACCCATGAACCTCCATGAGGCATGAATGACGGCACACCAACGCCCTCTTTGCTAAACACTTCCACCGGCTCAGCTCCACTGCGTGGGTCACCACAACACGCGCAGACAAGGGATGTTGCCCGCCTCCATCCAGAGGCTCCGGCCACTAAATCCTCAACCTATCAAGCATCACTTCACCCCCCTTCCTTACGAACCCAAAGCCTACTTGTTTTGGAGGCTGCCAACGAATTCTATAAGGGGTTGTGTACTCAGAACCTACCAAAAAATTCGGGCCTTCCGATATTAGAGGGTACCTATCGGGATCCTTTTTGTAAAGGGGGCCTGCAAATTTGGAGTCCATTTTCGGGGTCCCACATTTTCGTAAACCTAAAAACCCTAAACCCTAAACCCTAAACCCTAAGCCCTAAACCTTAATAGGTTTCGGGTTCTTAAGGCCAACCCTGGAGAGCAGAGGCTATCAACCCCATGAAGCAGATCATGCCCAACCCTCCAAGGGTTTAGGGTTTAGGGTTTCGGGTTTAGGGTTTAGGGGCCAACAAACTCATCCAGTTGGAGAAGCGCTTCTCCATGCCCGATTCTGAGGCTCAGAGGACTTACAGGGTTAAGGTTCTACTTGGTAGCCCAGTAACCCTATTAAGAAGTGTACCCTTTTGGGGGTTGGTTACTTTATAAGAGTATAAGGGGACATCGAACCCAAAAGAAAGGGAAAAGGGTACCACGGGGCTACCAAGTCTAAGCTAGGGTTTGAAAAGGTTGTAGGACGGTGAGAGTCGGAGACACTGGGATCGCATGGCTGGGCGGACGTTTGGTTTTTGCGAGTTCCCCGTATAGGGTTTAGAGGTGAACCCTAAACCCTAAACCCTACTGAGCACCGTTTCTGGAGAGGGAAAGCGTCTGGCACACCCTGTCACCAGTGCGGCAAGGCCACGGAAGCCTCTTTGTCGTCCAACATGTCCTTGGCACGGGTAGAGGGTTTAAGGTCTGCTGCTTATGACTTTGTGTAGGCCGCACCCAGGAGGGTTAACCGTAGATAAGAAGCTTTACCAGGCCTACGCTAACAGCACCTCTTGCTCTTATAAAACCCTAAGGGTCCATGTACCTCATTATAATGTACTTGGGCCCTAAAGTCCCTAAATAGGAGGTATTTTTAAGCCCAAGTATTCCATATTTAGGTACATGGACCCTTAGGGAAAGACAGGCATCTTGCAGGCACTCGAGGTTAGGTGAAAGTTGCTTCATCCGGAGATGGTTTCTTCGTCGGTTTTTGTGTTTTCCTTTCGCGGTGTCTTTCGCAGGACATACTTACAATGCAGTACCTGAAGCACGGTACTATGTTCCAAACTTTGGGACGAAGGGGAAGAAGACGTGCGCCATAACGAGCTGCCACCAGCCCCCTCTGTAGGGCTCCGGCCACCAGCCTCAAAGAAAAAACGCGCAAGGATTTAGCCACAAGCCTCCTTGAGACAAATTCTCAAGCTAGCCATCAGCCCCCATAAGAGAAACTTAGGCAAAGAAAGGATGCAGCCGTCAGCCGCATTTTTCAGACACTTACGCAAATGACTAAGTTAGCCACCAGCCCCTTCAGGTCACCGTGCAAAGGATTTCACCACCAGCCCCCTTTAAGCAAACTGCGCCGAAGGAATTCGCCGCCAATCAGCTGCAGGCCCATCTCAGGCTCAACCCAAAAGCCCGCATCCTAAACCACGGTAGTAGTAAACCCTAAACCCTAAACCCTAAACCCTAAACCCTAAACCCTAAACCCTAAACCCTAAACCCTAAACCCCAAACCCTAAACCCTAAACCCTAAACCCTAAACCCTAAACCCTAAACCCTAACCCTCAACCCTAAACCGTAGATTCAGGGTTTATATAAGCCTGAGGGTTGCAGGTTTGGAGCTTAGGGTATCCTTACCCCCTTCCTCCGCTGCAAAACTACTCCAAAAGAAATTCACGAAATCGACCCTTGGAAGCAGAACCCCTCAACCTCAAGACCTACCGTACCGAATGCAGATCGCCCTAAACCCTTCATCCCTAAACCTAGAAGGAACCCCAAACCCTAGACCCTGCAAACGCCATGAATCCTACAAACGCTGAAAACACCACAAACCATGTAGACCCCCCATCCACCCTAAAAGCCCTACTAGAAGGGACCCCAAACCCTAGACCCTATTAACGCTATGAACCCTACTGTAGAAGCCTGTAAACCCTGGACCTGCTACGCCCTAAACCGTACATCCTCCAAAAACCGACATCATCAAACCCTCCAAAAAGCCTAAGTCCAATACCCTCGAAACCCTAAAGCCTCTGAACCCTGAACCCTCCCAAACTCAAAGCCCTAAACCCTCTAAACCCTAAACCCCTACCTAGACCCTCCCTAACTCCCCCTAAACCCTAAACCCTAAACCCTAAACTTAGCCCAGGCTGCCGCCAGCGCCCGCACCAGCGCGGAGCCACGGGACCCGGGGGTGCCAGCCGCGACTCGCAAAACCTGGCGGCTCTTTCAGCTGGGATGTTTGGGGTTTGGGGTTTAGGGGTTGAGGGTTTAGGGTTTAGGTTAGGGGTTTTAGGGTTTAGGGCTTCAGGTTTGGGGTTTAGCAGAACCTGGTGGCAGTGTCAGGTCAAGCTTGGACCCTCGACTATGCTAGGGTTCAGGGTTCAGGGCTTAGGGTTTAGGATTTAGGGTTTGGGGTTTAGGGTTCGGGGTTCGGGGGTTGGGGTTTGGGGTTTGGGGTTTGGGGTTTGGGTTTGGGCCATGGGGTTTAGGCAACTTGGGGTTTAGAGTTTAGGGTCCCTTCTGCGGGTATCCAGTTTAGGGTCTTGGGGTGTAGGGTTTGGGGGTTGGGGTTTAGGGTTGAGGGTTTGGGGCTTAGGGTTTGGGAGTTAGGAGCTAGAGGTTTGGGGTTCCAGGTCTAGCGTTGAGGGCATTTTGCAAGCCCTGAGCTTGCAACCTGCAACTTCGCCCAGAAACAGCCACGCAGGGTACTGTAGAAAACCTAAACCCTGTTCCCTATTCCCTAAACCCGAAACCCTAGACCCTAGACCCTATTCCCTAAACCCTTTAAACCCTATAAACCCTGAACCGTAAACCCTAGACCCTAGCATAGTAGAGGGTCCCAGGTCATTGGACTGGGATCTTGGGATAGTTGACACTTAGCTCATGCAGAGATTCCTATAAGGAGATGATGTTGGATCTACTTGGAGGTTCAGGACCCCAAAAGTCCCCGAAGTCCTCTAAGTAGGTCATAAGTAGACCTATACTAGACCCGGGAGTAACCTAGGAATAAAAGGGTGCCCTTTGTGGTTTTAAGGAGACTATAAGGGAACACCAACCCTAGAAAAAGGAAAAAAGGGGGGCCTACTCCCGGTCCTAGTATAAATTGGGGATATATGCACCCATGAATCTCCAAGTAGGCATAGATGTAAGCTCTTGTCTCAGGTGGACTTTCCGGTGCAAGGCAAGGTATAGGACCGCGGCCACCCAGCTCTGCATCTTCCAACATAGGTGTCGGTGGCTTCGCTCTATGTGCCACCTGTGGGAAGGGTTTGGGGAACCCTAAATCTTTGCCCGAAGCCCCTAAGCCCCAAAGCCCCCCCCCAACCCCGAAACCAAAAACAGAGCTCGATGGGAGGTGCTCGAAGGTTCATGGGTACTCAGAAGTAGGGTTATGAGCACCCTAAATCAGGTTCAAACCACACTTCCATACCTATAATCCTATGCTGGTTCATACCCATGAAACTCCAAGGAAACCTAAACCCTAAACCCTAAGCCCTAAGCCCTAAACCCTAAACCCTAAACCCTAAACCCTAAACCCTAAACCCTGGCCCTCCCAAGTGTTCAGGCCTGTGCCGGCAGGTTGTCATGCGGGTCGAGCTCCTCCATGTCCTCAATCTGCCTGCAGCCCCCGAAGGGAAGCTTGGGGTTGTGGGTTGGGCTTACAGAGTTGCAAGGCCCTGCATCCTAACAGCCTACAAGCTCTTAAGCTGGCCGGTTTAGGATTTTGGGTTTATGGTTTAGGGTTTCGGGTGTGTTTCTTCTGAGCCCACGCCTCCACTCCAAAAATGTCAGGAATACCATCCCAACCTCTGCAAACCTAAGCCTACATTCAAAATAGAACTCTAAACCCAAAAACTGAACCCAACATGTAAACCCTAAACCCTAAAACCTACGCTGCAAACCCCACCCCTCAACCGTAGACCCAAAACCAAGAACCCCAACACCCTAAACTCTCCGGCTTAAACTGTAGAACCCCACAACTCGAAGCATAGTACAGGTCAACTTCAGGATGAGGGTGTAAGGGTCTAGGGTTTAAGGTTTAGGGTATCAGGTGTGTGTGTGTGTGTGGATCAGGGTTTGGCACCGAGGCAGTTATCCTGGATGAAACGATCCTGCCAGGGTGCTGTGCTCACCTTAAAGCTGTACTGTAGCTCCTGTTGGTACTGGGGAATCTACTACTGAAACTTGCCCTCAATCTTAAGGGCAGGGGGATGGGGGAAGCCAAGCGGTCTATCTTCTCCCAAGCTTGAACCCTGAACCTTGGGATCTTCCCCCTTATACTAACAGTCCTAAAAAGGGATTATAGTACCCTTACTATAATCCTTCTTATGGACTGTTGGTATAAGGGGTTATACGAACAGTCCTTAAAGGGGATTATGGTACCCTGATTATAATCCTGATTATGGACTATTAGTGTAAGGGGGAACACCCCAACCTCGATTTTTCGACTTTTGGCGCCGAGGCGCCACGTCTCCACCACAGAAGCGCACCGCCGGAGTTGCTGAGCAGCCTCAGCATGCCCTAAACTTGGGCCCTGGAAAGGGTACCCCTTATGTACCCCTGAAAAAAACCTAGGACCCTGTACAGGAGGTTAGGGACCATATTAAGGGCCATGAACCCTAAGATCCTCAGTGTGCCCTAAACCCCTCAACCACGTGCTGCCAACAACAAACCCAAATGGGTCCTAGAAACCATGACCTCAAGTGGGGGGGGGGGGGGGGGACACCTCGTGCACACCAACAAAATGCGAAAACCCTTCTTTAAAAAACCCCAAAACATGTACATTTAACTCTCTGGAGGCCCCAAATATCCCAAGACACCCTAAACCATAAATCTTAAACGCCAAACCCTAAATCCTAAACCCGAAACCCTAAACCCGAAACCCTAAACCCGAAACCCGAAACCCTCCCCCCCATTTTCCCCCTTGCAGCCACTGGGCACGACCCGAGGATGCCGCGGCCGCGCGCGCAAAGGCGGGCTCGAGTGCCTGCTTGGAGGTTCCTTTGGGTGCCTCTAAGAACGGTTTAGGGTTTAGGGTTTAGGGTTTAGGGTTTAGGGTTTAGGGTTTGAACTTAGGGCTTGGGGTTGGTTCAGGGCCTGCTCGGAGATTCCTTTGGGTGCTGATATAAGTAGGATTTAGGGTTTAGGGTTTGGGGCTTCGAGTCTGGGGTTCGGGTTATACATGTATATATATATATATAGAGGATCTATGCATATATATATATATATGTATACGGTTATAACCTCATGTAAAGTACTTCTACCCTTACTTTTAAGTACCAACGAGCGTGCAAATGCTAGGCTCTTATCCGGCCAGTGGAGGATACATCTCTGGGGTTCGGGGTTAAGGGTTTGGGTTTGGGGGCAATTAAGGGTTAAGAGATTGGGGTTTGATAATGGTTTAGGATGCCTGTCTCTGTCGCTGTATCTCTCCCTCTCCCTCTCTCTCTCTCTCTCGCTCTTTCTCTTCCTCTCTCTCTCTCGCACTCTCTCACTCTCTCTCTCGACCTCCGTCTCTATCTCTCGCCTTATGTATACTTGCATATGTATATAATATGTATTAAATATGTATATACTCATAGTATGGTCACCCCCCCCTGCGTCTCCCCACATGTCTCGACATAAATGTACACGTGCATGTGCCCTGTGTTTGATGTAACCCTAAAACCCTACTAGGGGGGTTGAAAAAAAAAAAACATCCCAATTGGGACTCCAACTCCAAAGCCCGCCTGCGCAGGATCCACAGCTTCAGGTGGTGGTGACGGTGACCGATCTCGCAGCGGGCACTTGAGTTCTCAGGGTTTCGAGGGTCGGTTCTCTCAATGATGGTCCTTTTTGGGTACCCTACATATTAGGGGCCGCCTGATCATCGGAACCCCACAAGGGTTCCGTAGCTTAGAGGCGAGGGGTTTAGAGGGAGGGTCTGTTTGGGGTTTTGGGGTTTAGGGTGAGCGTGGGCTGTTCCACAGGGGCTAGGACTTGCGGGGCTTCAGCCATCCTTGCAAACATGTCCCCCCCCCCCACCCCCCTGCCCCCAAGCCACACCCGAAACCCTGGGACTCCATGCATGCCTGTAGCAGAATGTGAAATAATTGCATGCTACTTGAAAGGTCATCACAACTCGAGTGTACTAGGTTGCCCGGTGACCTAAGAACAAGAAAGCTGTGTGACGTTCTTGCTTAATTCGGAAACAGGGGGAATCAAAACCTGTTCAGGAAAAGGTAAGACAGGCATCCTAGGCAGTCTAAACCCCTAAACCCAATTGCTATATGAAACCCGAAGACCACCAGAGTGGACTTACAGGTTCAGGGTACTTATAACCCCAATTATAACTGTACTTAGAAACCCCCCCACAAGTCCTCTAAGTAGGTTATAAGTAGACATATAATTGGGGTTCTTTACAAGTACCCCATGAACCTCCAAGCAACAAGGCTAAATGGAGACACTGGCGATTGGAAAACCTTTCAAAAGCGCAAGGACGCACCGGTGCCTGGCTCAGGCGCCGAGGATGGCCTCAAAGCCATTTTCGGGTTTGGGGCTTTGGGATTACATCAACGACTGGGTACAAACCTAAAGCACGAGATGTGAACCAAACTCAAAACATGTTGTGATATAGGTATATATATATATATATTATAATTATACATATATATATATATATATATATTTCTGGTTAGAACAAGAACAAGAAGTTGACCTACATCTTCGAGCAACCAAAGGCAACAGACGGGGTTTGGGGCTTAGGGTTTAGGGTTTACGGCTTAGTGTCCACTGTGTAGGGCTTAGGGTTTAGGGTTTTGGGCTGAAGGTTTGCGGGTGGGCCGCAGAGACCACTCGGCGTGGTGGGAACCACCCGTTGCTCGAACCTCAAATCGAGGACGTGCCTTTGGAATTCGTCATACAGTCTGTCTTACGCAGCTTCGGCTGATAATTCACGGTGCAAAGACGCCAGCACGGGCTACTAGGCCTTATAATTCCCCTAACCAACCCGATAAAGGTTTTTTTAAGGGGTTACAGGGCATAATAGCCCATGCAGGAGCGTGCTATATAGTCTGCACGCTTCCTCTGCAGGCAGATCGCGTAGCAAAATCGCCTACAGTCCCACGGCAGCCAGCAACAAGAGGCTAAAGTTGCCTTCATGCCCCTCCAAGGGTTTTGGGATTAGGGTTTCGGGTTTAGGGTTTAGGGTACACAAGCCAGCGCCCTAACATAGGTAGGGTTTAGTAAAGGATGGGGGATGGGATGTGGGGTATTTCGGTTGCCTAACTGCTTTCTAAAGCCGAAAACTAACACACCAAAACAAAACTCTCAACGGAAGCCCCAATGACCCTAGACCCTACTTGAAGGTTCCTGGGTACTTACTCGTAAGGTTATAAGTACCCTAAATAAGGCCGTCAACATAGTTACCCCAAACCCTGAACCCTAAACCCTAAACCCACAACCCTGGCCCTAAACCCGAAACCCTAAGTTACCCTACTTAGAAGTAGACTTTCAGAATCTCCGGCGAGGCACTGGACATTGATCATGGGGGCCGCGCGCCCCAGGAGTGCCTCCTGGCATGGAAAGGAGTTCAAGCAGGTTTAGGGTTTAGGGTTTAGGGTTTAGGGTTTAGGGTTTAGGGTTTAGGGTTTAGGGTTTAAGGCTTAGGGTTTAGGTTTTAGGGTTTAGGGTTTAAGGTTTAGTTCCGTTTTCGGGTTCAAGGTTTAGGAATTCAACGGGTTAATTAAGGTCTATTGGGCTGAGGATGGGGGTTGGAGTGCCAAAGTTGTCCGTGCACTTTTTTCTGAGCGCCAGATTTCATCAGGTAGGGGAGCTGCGCATCTAGTCCAGCACGTAGTCCTTGCCGGAGTTGTTCTCCCAATCATGTGAAGACCAACTTCCCTAAACCCTAAACCCTAAACCCTAAACTTCATGGAAGAGGCCCCCTCGGGGACATCGGCAAGAGCAGCCAGCAGGGATGTCGAGACCAGCAGGCAGAAGGTCGCACGTCCGGACGCCACAAGACCAGTCATTGAAGCCAATGTGCGCCTGGAGGTTGGCATGTTCCCCCCTTATACTAGCAGCTTCTCTTAAACGGGATTATAGCACCCCCTGAACCCGAAATCCTGCACCATTTACCCTAAACCCTAGACCCTAACCCCTAGTAAGGGCTGTTAGTCCCCATCCCAACCTGGAGGCTTCCCCGGCGGAAGCTTCAGCTCCCCTTGCCGGAACAGCTCCATGGGGCCGGGCCTCAATGGAGAAGGCCTTGGTAGCCCAGGAACCATATGATGACAATTTTGGTTGGATACCTTATAATAAGGCAAACTAGAACCCCCCCCCCCACCCCCCCCCAAAAAAAAAAAAACAAATGGAAACGCTGGGCTACCGGCTACCAAGAGGCTTGGCCCAAAAAGGGTGGGGAGAAGTACACCACACTGCGAAGAGCCATCGCAAGGCGCCGGGCGGCGGCCCCAGTCACGCTCGTTGTGCCGACCGCCAGGCTCCACAAAGCTTAGCAAGCCTTAGTTGTCCAGCACCCTAGGTCAAGGAAGGGAGTAAGACTCGTACTCTTAAGATCTCTTAAGGTGTGTATCCCTAAAGGCTCCCCCGAATATACTCCTATTATGGCCCTTATATCATCTTAAGGCTCTTTAAAAAGGGTCCCAAACTCAAGGGTGCAGCCTTAAGGGTCCAGGCAAACCCCCAAGCTAGGGCAACTAAAGGGGAACCTTTGGGGGTTTACGGGGATTCTAATGCACCAACAAGGTTAGAAAGGTCAACTATGATGGGGAACTAAAGGTGAACCTTCGGGGTTTGATGAGATTTTCATACACCGAAGAGGCGAGAAAAAATTGCAAAAACTCTACGACGAAGAAGCCCGATCCAACGTGAGGTCGGGGGTGTCCTGCACATTCTGCACTAGCATCTCGCAGAAACGCATCGCATTCCAGGAGGTCTCAACTTGGGGTCAATAGGTATATGAACCACAAACCCTTTTAGGGTGATATAATTACCTTATACAAAGGTATATGAAATTAGAAACCCCGTTTAGGGGTTCCTATATGAACCTGGCCCCCAAGGAACTCCCCCATGGCCAAGTAGGATTGACCCGGCCAAGTCTCCTGCTTCGCCACGGTCATGAAGCGCCCGTCTCGCCCGCCCAAAAAGACCTTGGTTGTGCTGAGTTAGGGCTTAGGGTTCATAAGCCGCCCCAAGAAGTGTGCACTTTCAGTTTTGGGGGCGATTACAGTGTCCCCCAACAAGTGTAAGGTGTATTAAGAGACGCGGACTCCACGAGCACTCCTGCCCAGGACCTTGGAGATCCTTAGGTGTTCAGTGACCCCAGGAAAAACAGGTAATTCCATACTTTTGGGGGGCTACTTTCCTAACTATAGGGAACCCAGAAACCCCATTAAGGTAAAAACAATGAAATTAACAAACAAAGTTATCCCACTGCACAGCCTGGTATCTCATGGCCATGTCCAGCGCGCAGATGCCGCCGAAGGAGGAGCCAGCAAAGAACCGATCTTGGCCGAAGTGCATCTCTGCCCGTGGAACCAGCTCGCTCATCACCTAGGACCTAGGATGGCCCTTACCCTAAACCCTAAACCCTCTGAAAAATATTCCTGAATATGATCCTCTTAAGCACAAGGGAAACTATACAAAAAGTTATACAAAATGTACCAAAGGGCCTACCTAGTCACCTTCTCCAAGTAGGAGTCCTCACACCTCCGCCAGGTGCATCCCACATGTCGCCACGCATGCCCTTGCCCCAGGGTGCATCCCAGCCAGTGGGCGGTACCTAGTTCATGGTTTGGAAAGTATTAAATATCGAAATTTCCATTCCTTACTATTTTTTGAGTTTAAGTACCCTAAACAAAGTGCAAAATGTTCCCCCACTATGACGAAGGTACGGAGAGGTACAGTCGTCCTGGGTCCTCAGACGGCCCCACGCCCCGCAGCCGATCAGGTGTGCCACGGTGCCTTCCGCTCGTAGGCCATCGGTTCACTGCCACTTCTTCGCCAGGAGCTTCACCATGTTCTCATTGTCTTCTGGTGGCATGTCATCCTTCCATGAGAGTGCGATGTTCCACAACCAGTCGGCATTGCAGCTGCCCAAGGACTTGAATTCCAGCTGCTGCCTGAGGTGCTCCACCGTCTGCTTCCACTTCGTCTTCAGGAAGTCCATGTCCCAGCCCCCTCCTGGATTCGAGCTCGGGGCCGGCCGTTTTCCAGGTCACGCTCAGCGTAGCTGGGCACGTAGGCCGGCAAGAGCGGCATCTCCGCCGCAGCAGACCGGAACTCCTTGTTGCATCACCGCAGCCTGTGTGGTTGTGGACCTGTGACGATCGGGAAGCCGCCGCGGAGATCTGTGGACTGTGGACTACCTCTCCTCCAGCCCCATGGCCGCTCTAAACACTCAACCCTAAACTCTAAGCGGGCCCTTTGGAGGCTTCCTTCGTCTGACGTAGATCTTCTGCTCGAGTTTCAGGGCTTCAAGGGATCTAGACGCTTTACCCCTCAGGTTGTGCCCTCAATATGGGTTTCCTTCAACACAAGAGTTGTGGGGCTTAGGGCTTCAGGGTTGTCTTCGGGGTCGATGCAAGCATCCTCGCATGCAGCTGACACTCAAAGGCGTGGTAGAGTCGAAGAGGCTCCCAGGCCTTTGAACCTAAAACGCCATCAAGAGTCCAGGCCTCGAGGCCCTGCAAGGTCAGCGAACCTTCAAAACCCCAACCCCCCAAAAACACATAGAGAGAAAAAACACTAAAACAAGTTGCAAAACACTAAGACCAACTACTAAAACCCTAAACCAAGAAAACAAAAAAACCAAAACAAATACTCAGGCTGAAGCTCCGAAACTCAAAGACCAGCAGCCCCTCAGCTCGCATAACCCCCAAACCTTTGAGCCCTCATCAATGAAGCCCTAAACTCTGAACCCTACACCCTAAACCTTGGACCTTCAACCCTAAACCCTACTTGAAGGCCGGCAGGTGCCTAAAGGTTGGGTGACAAGTGCCCGAAACAGCGTTCTAACCATAGTCGCCCTTCTTACAACCCTGCTTTCAAGTGACTACGAGCCTCGAAGCAAACCCTGGAAGCCTAAACCCTAAGCCCTAAACCCTAAACCCTGAACTTTGGAACCCCCAAACCCTAAACCCTAAACCTTAAGCCCGATACTTTGGAGCCCCCAAACCTGCAGGGTTGGGCTTCGATCTTCGGGCTGGCAATTGTATGGCACAGGTTGGGCTCAGGCTTTGGGGTTGGAGTTTAGGGTCTAGGGTTTAGGGTTTAGGGTTTAGGGTTTGGGGTTTGGGGTTTGGGGTTTAGGGTTTAGGGTTTAGGGCTAGGGTTTAGGGTTTATAAAGGTTTCAGGAAACACTCTAAAAAGTAACTTTTTTGAGAAGGAGCCACAACTTAAGAGGCCAGGACCGTCGAGCTCGGACAATGCATGGCAGAGGCACCCATCCTCGATGTGCGGGCCTGTGGTTTAGGGTTTAGGGTTTAGGGTTTAGGGTTAGGGTTTAGGGGTACTTCAAGGCTCAGTAAGGGTACTTTGAGGTAGGCTTCGGAGGGTTTAGGTTTCCGGTTTAGGGTTATAAGTACCCCAAAAAGAGATACAACCATACTTGCCCTACTTGCCCTACTAAACCCTACGTATCAGTTGTTTACCAGTGAACCTCCAAGTAGGGGCATGGCCACACTTGATCCGGAATCCGTATACCCTTGGGTATGGGTTCGGGGTTTAAGGTTCACGGTTCAGGGCTTGGGGCTTAGGGCTTAGGGTTTGGGGCTTGATCTTTCAGGGTAGGAGGTTAGCCCGAAACCCCAGCAAGGCTCTCCCTCGGATGCAGTTCCTCATGTTGAGCCAAGAGGGATTCACAAATTTCGGTTACCTATTCCAGGGGGTCTGCATAAATGGGATTGGGCATATTTGGTGGTTTACCCTACTTGGGGAACTACCCACCTGAGTTTTAGGGTTTAGGGCTGCCCTCAGAACCACTAAACCCCTGGACCCCCTTAAACTCAAAACTTTTTGGGGGGTGCTGAAATCGGTTTTGGGTGCGGATTTTGTCCTGCACTGCAAAAGATTGAGGTTTAGGGTTTAGATACATGGTCCTTAAGGGATGTTGGAAGGTGCATGTAGGGACCTTGGGGAAGCTTAGGTAGCAACATTGGGTTTGGGGTTTTGCCCGGACCATGCCAGCGCAAGCCGAACCTAACAGGGCACCACAAAGAAACCAACACATGGGTACATGGTTTTGTTATGTATTGGTTGTTTTGGAACCAATCTATCACAGTATAGTTCTGTTATAACATGAAGACCTTGAAGACCTCCCTATCCCCAAAGAAACAAACCCCCAAACCGTAAACCCGAACCCCAACGCATCTCTCGACATCGCTTGGGTGCCCCACCAATCCACACTGGCCACCTGGGCGCGCTAAAAAGGGCACCCAGACTCGTAGGACGATCCAAAAAGTAGAAGTCAGAAAAAAGTACCCTATGCTACTATTGGGTCATTCTTAGGAACGCTTAAGAGGATCTACTGTTTGGGTTTTCTTTCTAAGGTTTAGGGGGAGAGGCACCGAGTTGACCTTAGGGAAGCAAAGGGGAGCCCTGTTCTTAAGCTCAAGCACCCAAGATCCTAAACTAGACCCAAGAGTAGCCAAAGGGGCTTATAAGCAAACCTCAACCTTAACAAAAAGGGGAATAAGGGCCTACTCTGGGTCCTAGTATAGCCAGGTAAACGAGCAGCTAACGAAAACGCCCTAAGTGCACAAAAACACTAGAATCTCACAGCCTAAACTGCAGCAAAATGAAACACCCTGAGCTCTCAAACCCTCGCTAAGGCCTGCAGAAAAAGCCACCCTCAACAGAAGAACTCTAGTAAGTACATCCTTTAAAGCCTAGAGCCCCAGAAACCTGAACCCTCTAAAACCCTGCACCCTAACCCCCCTCGGAAGCCCCCCAAAACCCAAAACCCAAAACCCAAAACCCAAAACCCAAAACCCAAAACCCAAAACCCAAAACCCAAAACCCAAAACCCAAAACCCTAAACCCAAAACCCTAAACCCTAAACCCTCCCGAACCCCAAGGCACGCTTCCCAGGGGCTCTCCTGCTGCCAAGCCACGTTTGCCCAGCCGCCTCCGGTCGGAACCTTGGCCAGCGCCGCGCTCAACCTGGGCCACGTACGCAGGGTTTGGGAATGTTTAGGGTTTAGGGTTTAGGGTTTAGGGTTCAGGGTTCAGGGTTTAGGGTTTAGGGTTTAGGGTTCAGGGTTCAGGGTTTAGGGTTTAGGGTTTAGGGTTCAACCATTTTTGGGGCTTAGGGTGCAGGCTTGCAGCCCACAGCGAAGACTTGTCCGATGGTTTCGGGGTACCCGAACGACAACACCCCCGTATCAGAGAATTGCACCTCCAAGAGACCTTCATTTGGGGAACCTCAATGCCAGAAATACATAATGCAACATATATCTAAACATATCTAAACATATATATATATATATATGGGTATTCCCGAACATATGGGTACCCCATGTATACCCCAAATAGAATAGAATCCCTTAAAGAGACCCCCCAGAAAGGGTACCCCTAGTTTCGGAAACCCCCATATACATATATTATCCAAACGCAACCCGACAGCGATGCGTCGGAGCACCGCTTTACTTGGAGCACCCGCGGTTTCCGAAATTACGGGGTACCTTGTCTCTACTATAAGGGGATCCTACTATTTGGGGGTCGCACTATGTTGGATGGCCCCTATTTTCGTAAACCCCCTGATAAGTAGGGTTGTAAGTAGGGTAGCGATGCTTCAGGGCACCTCCAAGTATTTGTCGTGGCGTCTTCGGCCAAGTGACAACCCTGGAAGGGTCCACGTACTAAGGGAATACTTGTGGCCGAAAAAAGTACCTTCTACATAATATCGGGATTGGTAGGCTAGTTACAAGTACCTTCTACATAATAATAAGGGTGATTACCCTTTTTTGTGGTTGGGTTGGGTACTTGACAAGGGAACCTTGAACACCAAAAAAGGCAAAAAGGGTACGACTGGGCTACCAAGTAAATTGTACGGGGACTTTGAGGCCCAAGTGTATGATAATGAGTCACGTAGGTAGTCCTTTAGGGTTTAGGGTTTAGGGTTTAGGGTTTAGGGTTTAGGGTTAGGGTTTAGGGCTTAGGGCTTAGGGCTTAGGGTTTGGGGTTTGGGGTTTGGGGTTTGGGGTTTGGGGTTTGGGGTTTGGGGTTTGGGGTTTGGGGTTTGGGGTTTGGGGTTTAGGGTTTAGGGTTTAGGGTTTAGATAGCAGTCGGGTTTAGGGTTTCAAGGGGTTTCAGGGTTAAGGGACGCATCGTCCCCATGAGGGCTTCAAAAGGCCGATCGCAGGTTGCGAAAATCTAGAACCTGCACCCGAACCAATTCAACCCTACACCCCCAGACCCTAAAGGCCCCGAACACTAACCAATTAAATCTCAAACCCTAAACCTCAAACCCCAAACCCCAAACCCTAAACCCTAACCCCCAGGGTTAGACCAGGTAGCGAAGGTCCCAGTTCTTCCGTCCAGGACTGCTTTTCCTCCCGAGGCGGAGGGCTGACAAAGGGCCCGCGAAGGGTTCATGGGGTTCATGGGGTAGGGCTTGGGGTTTAGGGTTTAGGGTTCAGGGTTCAGGGTCTAGGGTGCATACTTTGGGGAGGCCCATGGGATAAGCTACTAAGTTGTAGAACAGGATTGCGTTCTGCGCAGACTCGCCAGCTTTCAGAGGTTCTGTGCAGGATGCTTCCAACCAGGGAGTAAAAGCAGTCCAATTTGGCAGCAGCTGGAATACCACAGGTCGGCAAATTCAGCCACACCACCACGCCATCTTTCATCTCCTCAAGCAAAGCTTTCCCTCCCCCACCCCCCCCCCCCCCCCCAATCCTGATTGAGGTGGGCTGTTATGTTCGGAAGTGTAATGCTCTGTGGGTCGGCGGTGGTCGTTTTGGCCAAAAAGAAGTGACTTTTGGTGAACTCCGAGACGCCGTTCCAGGCACGGGCGTTGGCATTCTGAAGACAGAGAAGCTCTCTCTTAAACTTTGTGAATTTGCAAGGCTATCAGCCAAGTCATCAGCAGCCATCCATAGCTACTAGGGCCCTTCCAGGTTTAGGGTTTAGGGTTACGTTTAGGGTTTAGGGTTTAGGGTTTAGGGCTTAGGGTTTAGGGTTTAGGGTTTAGGGTTTAGGGTTTAGGGTTTAGGGTTTAGGGTTTAGGGTTTAGGGCTTCCGCAGTTCCGAAGACTGAGGGCCCTAAATGTCCAGACAGCACTCCGGAGCCTGCTCCGAGTCCCCCCCAAACCCAAAACCCGGAACCCTGAACCCAGGGTTTAGGGTTTAGGGTTTAGGGTTTAGGGTTTAGGGTTTAGGGTTTAGGGTTTAGGGTTTAGGGTTTAGGGTTTAGGGTTTAGGGTAACCTGAAACCCCCCAAACCTGCCTGGAGTACCCCTGTACCTTAAAGTAACAGGGAAGTGTGCGCAACAAGATGGCCCAAACTCCAGAGCACAGGCCTTAAACCTTATGCTATCTGCACTTCCTACATGGGGACCCATATGAAGCAGGGTTTATATTTCTGTTATTGGTGAGTGTATATAAGGTTCCCTTTTAGTATTGGTGAGTGTATATACCTGGTGTCCTTTTGGGGGTACAAGAAATATATACCCTACTTCATATGGGTATGGCCCAATACCCCCGTTGTCGGGGGGGGGTCGGCCCCCACCTTGTTACAAACCCTTGTCGCGCCCCTTGTCGCGCCAGCTTTGTTTCAAACCTTTGTCGCCTGGCACTCTAGAAAACGCCCCTTGTCGCAAGCCTTGTCGCGCAACGTCTGTCGCAAGAACCAGTTTTGCTACAAACCCTTCGTCGCGCCGTGCACGTCCGGGGGCCTGTTACAAGCCTAGCGCTTTGGGCCGCGCCCATATAACTCCCTCAACCCCAAACCCTAAACCCTAAACCCCAAACCCTAAACCCTAAACCCCAAACCCTAAACCCTAAACCCTGCCAAAAGCCTCCAAGCTCCTCAAGTCCAAACACCCTCTTTTATCAGGCGGTGCTGGACACCTCACTGCAGAGAGCTGCTGACAGCGCTAAGAGGGCGGCCTCTCACCACAACAAGGCTTAGGGTTTAGGGTTTAGGGTTTAGGGTTTAGGGTTTAGGGTTTAGGGCTTAGGGTTTAGGGTTTAGGGCTTAGGGCTTAGGGTTTAGGGTTGTAAGGGACCAGGTGCTACAGCAGGGATTGGGCTTCAGGTTTAGAGTCTACTTGGGAGGTTCATGGGTACTTCGAAGCGTGTTAGAGGTGCCCTAAATAAGGTTATAACCATAGTTGCCCTACTTCTACAGGGTGGGGCCCCCTTACTATACTAACTGTAGTTAAGGGACTTATAACCTAACTTAGGGTCCTTATAACCCAATTTAGGGCCCTTATAACTCTACTTATAACTAGGGGGCCCCACCCTGTAACCCTACCCCTAAGTGCCCATGAGCATCCGGGTTTTGGATTTGGGACTGGCGACCACTAGTGGTCGAGAGGCTCAGGGTTTCCCAGCCCCAAACCCTTTGAACCCAAAACCCCAAACCCTTTCCAACCCTAACCCTAAAGGGTAAGCCGCAAGAGCTGACTGGCATACAGCGCCACGAGCACCAAACCATCTTACACCCTTAACTTAGCGGTTCCATGTACCAGGTGATCTTGAGTACGAAGTCTTTCTTGGTCTCCTCATCTAACAGGACATTGGAATGGAGATACAAGAAGGGTGCACAGTTTGAATGACGCCCCTCGCGCACATCATATTTAGCAACAGCTGTCAAAAGGGTTGCAAAAGAACGAGCCTGGCATCTGCTGCCGTAACGGCATCGTCCTAACGCTAAACCCTAAACCCTGAACCCTAAAAGAACTCCTGAGTCCAAACAGCAATCAGGGCGATGCCTCGCCAGCGGCAGTGTCCTGACGCTGCAAGAAGAACCGTAAGTCGCTAAACCCTAAACCCTAAACCCTAAACCCTAAACCCTAAACCCTAAACCCTAAACCCTAAACCCTAAACCCTCTCCCCCCTCCCTCAGCCACTTTTCGCGGATAGCACAACAAGCCCCATGCGCCGAAACCGGAAAGTCCATCCCTGTAAGCCCATCACGACCTACATGCAGGGGTTGTTCTGACTGAGGGTGGGGTTTAGGGGGCATAGGGTGTCGCATAGAAAGGCCCCTGGCAAAAGGGGCCCCCTGAGCCCAAACGCACCCCTGAATCAAAGGTAGCCTACCCTCAAAAATCTTGAGAGCCCTACTAGAAGTAGGGCTTAGGGTTTAGGGTTTTAAGAAATACAGGGCGGGGCCCCCTTACTATACTAACTGTAGTTAAGGGACTTATAACCTAACTTAGGGTCCTTATAACCCAATTTAGGGCCCTTATAACTCTACTTATAACTAGGGGGCCCCACCCTGTAGAACTTAAGGTACATGGGTAGTTCTCCAAGTTAAGGCCCCTTTCGGGGGGTCATTTGTTTAAGCGTGCCGGACTACTTCGGGGACCCCCAACAACGGAACAACAATTTTGAGAACTACCCATCTATTTCTCATCCATGGTTTTTTTTCCTGGGCTCTCTCAGGATTCCCATTAAAAAATAGGGTTCTAAAACCCTAAAGCCCTGAACCCGAAACCCTAAACCCCAAGCCCTAAACCCTAAACCCCAAACCCCAAACCCAAGCCCTAAACCCTAAGCCCTAAACCCCAAGCCCTAAACCCTAAACCCTAAACCCCTAAACCCCACATCCCAACGGAGGCCTCAGCGGCCGCCTGAAGTAGCGACTTGGCGCCAAAGTTTGCACGCCTGTTCTGACAAGCGGGGGTTAGCCCTAAACCCTAAACCCTAAACCCTAAACCCCAAACTCCAAACCCCAAACCCCAAACCCCGAACCCTAAACCCTAAACCCGGTGCTGCGGCTTCGATTGTACACGTACGCAAGTGTCTGTAGGGCGTGGTGCCCTGGGGGATGCTGATTCCTCTCGGCTCCTTTTTCTCTTGTTGGGGAGGGCGCAGCACACGTAAACGGTCCCAAACCTAGCCGATACAAATCCTGAACCCTGAAACCTAAAGCCTAAACCCTACAACACTAAGACCTGAACCCTACAAATCCTAAACCCTAAAGCTCTACAGCGCTACTTGGAGGTTCATGGGTACGTACAGTCGGGCCACGATGGTCATAACCTTATTTAGGCTGCCCTAAACCCTAATTAAACCCCAAACCAGAAACCCCAAACCCCAAACCCCAAACCCCAAACCCCAAACCCTAAACCCTAAACCCTAAACCCTGCCTATAAGTACCCGTGAACCTGCACGTAGGCCCGAAACCCTGCGCGTGTGCCTCAGTGCCTTTGGCCCGAAGCCGTCCGCGGCCACAGCCAGCCCCAAAGGCCTGGGTTTAGGGTTTAGGGTTTAGGGTTTAGGGTTTAGGGTTTAGGGTTTAGGGTTTAGGGTTTAGGGTTTAGGGTTTAGGGTTTAGGGTTTAGAGTGCAGGGTTCAGAGTCGAGGGTTTAGAGTCTAGGGTTTTAGGGTCGTGGGTTTAGAGTTTAGGGTCATAGCGCTTAGAGTTGCGGTTTGGTGTTTAGGGTTTGAGGAGTTTAGGTGGAAGGGTTTTGGGTTTAGGGTTTAGGGTTTAGGGATTAGGGATTAGGGTGCAGGGGGTAGGGCTTTGACTTCACAGTTCTGCTCCTCGAGCTTAGGATGTGGGCTCATACGGGATAAGGGCTGGTCTTGGCTCTCGAGTCGTGAAAAGAGCTGTTAGGGTTTCGGGGCTTAGGGGCTTAGGGGTTTAGGGGTTTAGGGGTTTTAGGGGTTTTAGGGGTTTAGGGGTTTAGGGGGTGTAGGCCTTAAGATCTACCACCTAGTGCTCTAGGTTGCTGGCTCCGGCTTACCGGCCTTTCTTTGCAACTTGGGAGTGCTCCGAGCGACGCGGGCGCACCTGTAGGGCTTATATAGGGTTGTCAATTCAAGAAGGTCGAGCCGTCGTTGTCATGTTCAGAGCTGGAATATGCACTTGGGGAGGCCCGGGTTTAGGGTTTAGGGTTTAGGGTTTAGGGTCTAGGGTTTAGGGTTTAGGGTTTAGACTCTGGATGCTTCTTGCACAGTCAGCCCGCTCACCGAGCATCATGGCGAACAGCATGATGACTGCAGCCCATGGAGCAAGCTCCATGACAGTTTTGATGAGACAGACCAGTTGGCCTGGAGTGAGCGCTTCCCTGCCTCCTCTCTTTTTGGCAGAGTGCAAGGTTTTTGCTGTGCACAGCTTCTTGTGCGTCTCACTGCAGAAGCGAGCTGTCTTACAGTTGCGCTGCATTTTCCCAATCAAGGATGTATTGCAATGCTGAACTGAAAGAGTGAAGGGCTTGCTCTTGCAATCAGTACTTGTTGCGCAGAAGGGCCGTGGCTTGCTGTACTACGGTACACACAGCTGTGATTCTTCATCGAAGAGCCCTCCCAATAGAGGGGTCGGAATGATAACTAATATTCTTCCCTTAATTCGGATCCCTGTATACATGTACCTCCTAAACCCTGAACCCGTAAATCCTGACCCCGAAACCCATTCTAAACCCATCCAAACCCTCATGATTTCATGATGCTGAGGAACTTGAAACTAAGACGCACCGTGCTGCCAAAGTCAGCGATACTCGACACCAAAGCCCTAAACTCTCAACTCGAAACCCCCAACCCCAAAGCTCGAAGCCCAGAACCCCAAAAAACCCCTAAACCCAGGCTCTAAAGCTTAAACCACACGCCCCAATCCCTAAGAGTCCCACATAGAGACCTAAGCCAGTCTAAGCTCCAAGCCCCAAGGACCTGAGCCCTCGTCTGAACTACACACTCTAAACATCCCGTGGGCCCGAAACCTGAAGCTGTCGATGCTTCAAGAGGAGGTCTGGGGGCTTAGGGCTTCGGGCTTCGGCTACATACGTGCCAACGAAGGCATGGGGATAAAAGAGCTTTAAGCATATCATACGCTTTAAAAAGGGAAGCATGCCTATAATGTTGAACCAGGGGGCGGGTGCCGGGCCAGCGCGGCCCCAAGCACCTCTCAAGGCACTCAAGGTATTTAGGGGTGGGGCTCTGATCTAAACCCTAAGCCAAAGTAGCCCTAAACCACTAAACCCCCAAATCCCCCAAACCCCCGACCCCAACTACGCTCTCCACATAGACGCCCAGGAGGCGATGGGTTTCTGGGGATGGAAGGAGGGAAGAGGGAGAACAGGGGCTTCAGAGAGTCTCAGGGTGTAGGGGTTCATGGCTTACGGGAACCCAAAGCCCAAATCCCAAATCTTCATCCTTCAAAAACCCGCCGCTTGCAGAACCCCCTGCCCTACGTACCCTACCCTATCGGAACCGGCTTTAGCCCCTGAGCCACCCTACCCTGCACTTCACCACCCCACCCCACTCTACCAGCGCCCTACCCGACCCACCCTGGCACACCTTGCCCACCCTCGCGCACCCTACGCTGCCGGAATGTGTTTGGGAAGGCTTCGGACAAGCATGGTTTAGGGTTGAGGGTTTAGGGTTTAGGCCCAGCCCCGACACAGATCTGTCCCTACACCAATCCCAGTTGCCATCCTTACTGTCGGGCTCTGGGCTCATCGACTTTACAGAGATAAGGCTTCAGAGGGCTTCAGAGTAGGCATTAAGGAGATGATTTTGGAAGCCTCCTCTTGCAAAGTCACGAGATTCTGACGGTACTGTGCTGCCCTAAAAGTTAGCCGCATATGACCCAACTGAACCAGGGATAACGCGCAGAGCCAAGAAGTCTTGATAGGTGCAGGGCTAAGGGTGTAGGTTTTCAGTAGCCGGGTAGGGTTGTGGGCTTGGGGCTTAAGAATTTGCGGGGTTAAGGGTTAAGGATTTAGCCCTAAACCCTAAACCCTAAACCCTGAACCCTAAACCCTAAACCCTAAGGGGTCTGAATTTGGTGGCTTCGCACAGGTGGGGTTCCCCACCCGCTCCGCAGCATGCGAAAGTGCCGCATGGGCCGGAGCCGTCAGTGGCAGCCACTCGCCTGACCTTGGCAAAAATGAAGCCCCCTAAACCCTAAACTCTAAACCCTAAACCCGAAACCCTAAACCCAGGCATGCTTGGCATGCAAGCTTGGAGTTTATCCAGCACAATGGTTAAGGTAAGCAAGACTCAGTGCTGGGGCGACCCGAAACCTTTCTCCCTAAACCCTAAACCCTAAACCCGAAACCCTAAACCCTAAACCCTAAACCCAAACCCTAAAGGGTGGCCCAAGTTGCAAGGCTTGGGTCTACGCAGTTTAGGCTCGGGGGTCTAAGGCTTAGAGCTTAGGGTCTCTGTCAGTTCAGTTCTATGCAGACATAGTATTCTTGAAGGACATAAAACCCAACAGAAGCATGTACATATATATATATATATACATACATACATCTACATATATATATATATATATATCCCTAGCCAATAACTGGATGCCTTTGTTTCGGGTTAGGTTATCGTAACAAAGGTGTAGGCTTCAGGGCTTTCGGGTTTGGTATAGTGATCAAAGCCGCAAATCTAAACCCGAAGTCCTACACCCAAACCCTGACCCCTAAACCCTAAACCCTAGACCCTAGACCCTAAACCCTAAACCCGGAACCCTAAACCCTAAACCCTAAACCCTAAACCCTAAACCCTAAACCCTAAACCCTAAACCCTAAACCCTAAACCCCACCAAGGGTGTACGAGTGTCCGACAGAATCGCCGGCAACGCTTGGATAGCAGCACCGTGCTGGGAGAGCAGCATTGTCGCATCCGCCGTCTGCGCAGTCATGCGATCATGATGAATCTAGGAGTTTAGGGTCTGGGTTTATAGGGTTTAGGGTTTAGGGCTTAGGGTGTAGGGTTTAGGCTTCAGGGTTTAGGGTTTAGGGTTTAGGGTTTGGGGATTAGGGTTTAGGGTTTAGGGTTTGGGTTAGGGTTTAGGGCCTAGGGCTTAGGGGTTAGGATTTTTAGGGCTTAGGGTTTAGGGCTTAGGGTTTTTGGGTTTAGGGTAAACTCCCAAAATCTGGAACATCCGTATCCCCATACCCCAAAAGGTATACTCAAGGGAATCCCAGCTCTAGTCATCCTGAAACCATGATCCAACGATCTGGACCCATGAAATTTGAATAATCGCATCTATAAGGCCTATCGAGCTTCAGTCGGCTGATCCCAGCACCACAGCAACTGAGAGCAAGGTTGTGCGCCCGAGCCCGAAGCCCGTTTAGGGTTTAGGGTTCAGGGTTTGGGGGTTTAGGGTTTGGGGTTTAGCCCCAATGCCCCCCACCCCTGCCACAATATGTAGGCCTCAACATGACCCTTTCAAACACTACAAGATAGCTGAAACGTAGCTCGGGTAGGATACGAGGGCCTTACAAGCCGAAGCATACAAAATCAAAAGGACACAACTACCTTTGAGCCTTTCATAAAGTAGATCAAGACGGCAAGTGTAACTTGGGGTGGGGTCCTTAATTCAGGGTGCTGGGCTACCTTGGTACGCAACCCCGAAACCCTAAACCCTAAACCCTAAACCCTAAACCCTACACCCTAAACCCTAAACCCTACGTATCCTAGTTCCCGAGACTTGGGCTCTCTGGCCGCCTTTTCCAGCAGCGACGACCAAAGCTCGGCTCCCAAGATCGATGCCACCGCGCGCTCCTCAAGACAAGGACCGTGGTTAGGGAAGCCCCAAACCCTAAACCCTAAACCCTAAACCCTAAACCCTAAACCCTAAACCCTAAACCCTAAACCCTAAACCCTAAACCCTAAACCCTAAACCCTAAACCCTAAACCCTAAACCCTAAACCCTAAACCCAAACCGCAACCCTAAACCCTGGGTGCAGGTGAGGGTTTAGCCCTGGGTGCTGTGAGGGTTTAGACAGCCTAAAGCTTCAGGGATGTTCAGGATGAATGGGCGTGAAGGTTCCCAGTCGAGGAGAATTTAGGGGCTTAGGGTTTAGGGGTTTAGGGTGGGTTTAGGGGTTTAGGGGCTTAAGGTGTTAGGTCGGACATTGCATGGTGGAGTCCAGCATGGTGTCTGCGTGAAACCACCCCATGCATGTTGCAAGGGAGATGGGACAGGAAGCAACTAGGGAAACTCGTCAAAGATCCTTCTCAGGAGGAGAGCGGAATTCAGCTTGGTTTTGAGGAAACATCGGAATTCCCATACCAGATCGTTTCTTCTTTTGCGGAGTTCATCAGACATGGAGTGAAGGGCTTGTTTTGCCAGAATATCTGCACGGTTATTGTGGAAGATCTGCCAGAGCTCGGAGAAATCCCTTGCGTCGTGTAAAGACTTGTGTGCCTTTGTCCAGAATATTTTGCAGCTGCCCGGCTGTTTTCTCTTCAGAATATTAATAGTGGTCTGTATGAGGTCACGATCCGGGTGAGTGACCCAATAGTCCATGGTGTCGTTTCCATTAATGACAGCTTGTACCACTTTGACCGCGGCTTGATTGTCACAGAAAATTTCGCAGCATCCATCATATGCAAGTGCAACATTCACTGCAAAAAGTTCTGCCCGGAAGACAGTTTGTATCATACCTGGCAATATGCCTGAAGAGATGACGTGGTTGGTAGATTCTTGCGGTTGGGCTTCTGTCACACCCCAACTTGCAACCCTGGCCAAAGGAATGCCTTCGTCTTGTGCGGATCCATCTGTAAAGAAAAAACGTGTCGACCCATTAGAGGGCAAAGGAGAGATCTGGACATCCACTTCCATAAGGGCCTTTTGGAATTGCTTGAGTTTTTGCGGTTTTGGGAAGAGGCCACCCAGGAGCACATAGTCAGGTAAAGATTTAAGCTGTTCCCATTCCGTGGTTGACTCCCGGATGTGTTCCGTACCCGGGCACTCGTGGACTCTGTGCCTGAGTGTGTCTTCTTGGCCACAAAAAATGCATTCTTTGTCGTTGTTGTAATCCACGGAGTGCTTCCCGCCATGTTGGGCTCAGGGTTGTCTAGGGGTTCAGGTTGTGAGTTAAGAGCTTTGGGGTTCCAGTCACAGAAGCTTTGGCGGGAGCTGTGGTACTACTCTGTGAATCAAACAGCTCTAAACCCTGAAGCCCGAAAACCTGAAGCCCCTAAAGCTACGACCCGAACGCCCCGAAACCTGCACACCCTACACCCTAAGCCCTGAACCTTAACGCCCTAGACCCTAAACCCTGTAAGTCCAAAGCCCTGGAAGGCCTAAATCCTAAAAGCCCTTAAAGCCCTAAACGCCCGGAACCGTTGAAACTCTGCACCCTTCAAAGCCCAAAGCCCCAAAACCCTAAACCCTAAATGCCCTGAAAACAACACGGTTGCTTAAGAACTCGCCCCCCCAAAAAAAAATCAAAAGGAATGAGCAAATAAATTGTAGTAATAGTAATGATAATACCTATTTTCCCCCTATCAGGAAAAAACATTTTGCTTTTCTTTGAGCGGGGATTCTTAAACAAACCCTAAACCCTAAACCCTAAACCCTAAACCCCAAACAGTAGGAAACCCTCACTGTGAGCTCACCCTTTGGGCAGGGAGAGCACGCCCAAGAATCAAGCCTGAACCCGACGCCCTCAACGTAGGGTTTAGGGTTTAGGGTTTAGGGTTTAGGGTTTAGGGTTTAGGGTTTAGGGTTTAGGGTTTAGGGTTTCGGGTTTAGGGTTTTCTGAGGTTCCCCAGGTACCCACCCCCCATGAACCCTAAACCCTGACCCTTTCCCCTAAACCCTAAACCCGAAACCCGAAACCCGAAACCCTAAACCCTAAACCCCAGTCCCTTAAGAACCCTATAAACCTCAGGCGCTCCTGCTGCACTTGCGCCTCTCGCCGCAGGCTTTCGATGTCGGTCTGTGGAGAGCACGAGATAGGGGATCCTAAACCCCAAACCCTAAACCCTAAACCCTAAACCCCAGACCCTAAACCCTAAACCCTAAACCCTAAACCCTAAACCCTTACATACCTTATACATAATAAGGGCCCAACCTTCGGACCCCTTTACATCCCTTTCGATGTCGGTCTGTGGGGGAGCACGAAAGGACAGGGTGTGATAAAGGGTGCCTTAATACTTAGTTTTTTTTTGGGAGTTCTTCTGGTACATTTACAGAGGGACCATAAGGGAATGCTACTAGCAAGTATTCCGACCCCCCTATATGTTTGGGTCTAGGTTTCTGGGTGTGAGCAGTCTTGCGGGCTGAGGGCTGGGGGAGTTTGGGCTTTTTAGGGTTTAGGGCTTGGGGTTTAGGGCTTTGGGTTGCACTTCCAACAGAACATACACCCTCGTCAAACCCTAAACCCTAAACCCTAAACCCTAAACCCTAAACCCTAAACCCTAAACCCTAAACCCTAACAATAGAGCTCCAGAAACACTTAACCCTGGAGCCTGAACCCCAAAACCCTGGGCCCGAACGCCAAACAACCCAGGGTTTAGGGTTTAGGGGTTAGGGTTTAGGGTTTAGGGTATGATCTTAACCACATACCGTTGGGGCTTGTAGGGCTTAGGTTTACTTAGTTGCTCAGTCATACGCCCCAATTTTCAGTTCTATAGAGGATTATAGTATCCCAAGAAGTGTAAAGTGTGCTCGCTACTAAGATAAGTAGGGTTGGGTAGAGGGCCCAGGAGTGTCACCGAGCATGTAGATCTGCCTACTTGACCCAAAAAGCTCAACCCTCTCAGGCTAAACCCTAAACCCTAAACCCCAAACCCCAAAACCCCAAACCCTAAACCCCAAACCCTAAACCTTAAGCCCCAAACCCTAAACCCTAACACGAGGGAACTAAGGAACCGAGGGGCTACTTAGCTACTTGCTGCCTTCCCTGAAGAACATAGCGAAGGGCGGGGGAAATCTCGAGATCATGCTTTCTCCACAAAACCCTAAACCCTAAACTCCCTAAACTCCCTAAACCCTAAACTAAACCACCCCAACAGACTAAACTCCCCAAGCCGCTGAAAGGGAAATTAAATTATTTTACTTCGAACATCCCCACCCTCTCTTGGTAGAGATACTCGGGGGGCACTCTGGGGCTGGGCACTCCAGGGGAGACTGTGGGGTTGGGCACTGGGCTGGGCACTCGGGGACACTCTGAATTGGGCACTCCAGGAAAACCGGGGTTGGGCACTCCAGGGAGACTCTGGGGCTGGCACACCGGGATTGGGCACTCCAGGGAGACTCTGGGTTTGGAGACTCTTGCGGTGTGGGGTTGGGATTTCAGGGAGACTGTGGGGTTGGGCACTGCAGGGACACTCTAGAGTTGGGCACTCCAGGGACACTTTGGGGTTTGGCACTCCAGGGATGAGCGAGGAGTAGACCGGGCGAGGAGAAGAGTTCCGGGCGAGGAGAAGAGATGAGTTTAAAATCTAACAACCCCACACCGCGGGTGGGGAAAAACAAACAAACAAACAAAAACCTCCCTCAACCCTACACCCCAAAAGCCCTAGCCCTAACCCCCCCCTCGGTCCCCCCAACAAAAACAAACACAACTAACCAACCCCCCGACTTGGAATGTTCGCCCTTACTTATACTCACAGCGCTCAATGGGGATTACAATAGGGGGTACTATAATCCCTATTGGGGACTGTTAGTATAGGGGGGGACATCCCAACACTAGAGTCCCGTGAGCCCGGACCCTTAGCCTGAACCCAAACCCCCTCCTCGAAACCCAACCCCGCACCAAGAGAACAACAAACCCAAAACGCTAGACCCTAAACCCTAAACCCTAAACCCTAACCCTAAACCCTAAACCCTAAACCCTAAACCCTAAACCCTAAACCCTAAACCCTAAACCCCACAGAAATAAAACTCAAGCTGCAGCAGCGGCCTGAAAGTCGAGCACCAGCTCCTGAAAGCCGAATTCAATTCATCCATTCACTGGTATACAGGTTAGGTTTTAGGGTTTAGGGTTTAGGGTTTAGGGTTGAGGGTTTAGGGTTTAGGGACTCCACACGCACAAGCTCCGCATGCTCAGGGTTTGGGGCTTGGAGCTTTGGGGCTTTCGGTTCAGGGCTCGTGCCCTAAACCCTAAACCCTATAAACCCCAAACCCTAAACCCTAAACCCCCAAACCCTAAACCCTAAATCCTAAACCCCAAACCCTAAACCCTAAACCCTAAGCATCCTGCAGCTGCTTCCCGATGCTGCGGATGTCGATGCGCACCGCGGCCTTGGGCTGAAAACCCGGATGCAAGGCGTCAGCGACTCTCTGCGGGGTAGGGTTTAGGGTTTGGGGTTTCGGGTTTAGGGTTTAGGGTTTAGGGTTTGGGGTTTAGGGTTTGGGGTTTAGGGTTTAGGGTTTGGGGTTTGGGGTTTGGGGTTGTGGGTTGTGGGGTTTGGGGTTTCCGGTCTGGGGAGTCAGAGTATACCCTGCAGCCTAAACCCAGCGGAGCCTTTGTTGGGGAGAGAGGGGCTTCAGCGCATATGGGTAAAAAAGATAGGGTTTCGGGTATAGGGTTTAGGGCTTAGGGATACAAGAGCCGAACGTTGCGGTTTGCTTTTTCTTGGATTCCAAGCTAGGCTCATGGGTTCTGCCTGCTCAGCACAGGTTAAACCGGCGAAGCCGAGCGAGCAAGTCTGCGAACAGGTGCGCTGTCTCAGTCTCAGCAGGCTTCCTCAAACACCTCATAGGATGAAAACAAAGTCTGAGCATAACCTGGCGTGCGTTTCTGGTGTGTTTGTGCTTCGCCGGGTAGGTCTTGTCATATGCAAAACACTACAGCATGCTGTACAAGGGGGTTTCCGAAATTGGGGTACCTTGTCGGGGGTCTCGATTATAAGGGAGACCTACTATTTGGGGATATATATATATATAAGGGATCCCCTATCTTCGTAAACCCCCATATACCAAACGCGGCATGCTCTACACTCCAGATCGAAAGCTGTGCTGCGCTGGCCGATTCTGCCCCCCCTACTCTCTGGCCTCCGAGCCGAGAGACGCCACTTGTTGCTTAAAACAACACCCCGAACCCTAAACCCTAAACTTCCCACACCCTAAACTTCCCAAACCCTACACTTCCCAAACCCTACACTTCCCAAACCCTAAACTTCCCAAACCCTGAGACTCGGAATCGATCGGGCCGCAACCCGAAACTGGACCGTTTGGCTCCACGGCAACAAGCTCCTCTTCTTGGCCGTTCTTTGTGGCCAAGGAGGGGAGCGGCCAATTTTTGGCCATGAGAACTCCCTACTTTAAGTCTCATGGCTACGGTGCACCTTAAGTAGACAGTTGCTCTAGAATTACTGAGACTGTTTGAACTTAGTCTGCCTGACCACTTCCAAGTACCATGTGGCCTACGAGGACACAACCTAGCCCCTAGCCCGTCTGATCTTAAGGACAGGAACATGAAACTGGTAAACCCCGAAACCTTAAACCGCTTCCAGGTTGGTCCTCAAGGCTTTGGTGTCTTAAGCGTTCAGGGTTCGAAGACAGCGGCGCCTGCAGCGCCTGCTGCGAGTCCAGCTGAGTCGGCCGTGCCCAAGGCGACACCACCATGGGCACCTCCCAGAGAAGACGTGGGATCGGCCGGTGGATCTCAACCTGGTCATGTTGCAGCTGAAGATTGCGCCGCCAAAAGTTTCGTTGTGGCGCCACTCTGGTACATCCGTCAACACTACGGCTCTCTCTGAGATTCCCACCATGGACGGGCGGGCTAGCGCGTTGCTGCCCTTGGCCAAGTTGCTGCCGTACCTGTCAACGGTCTGAACCAAGCTCCATGCGCCAGCCGCAGCGACCTCGAACATCTGAATTCGGTTGCCAGACTGAGTGGGGTAGTTCACCACAACCCGGCCAGCGCTGGAAATTGCGATCTTCGCAATGGCCCCGAACACAACAGTGTCATTCAACGAGGCCCTGAAGACTTCGGGCCACAGCTGGCTCTGGCGCTTGTAGATGAGCAGCTGACGAAAGGTGCTGAGATCAGACCAAAGTGCGGTCGCGTAGTCCCCATCCACAGCGACGTCAATCATGTAGAACATACCCGGGGGCGCTGACACGTTGGCGACGCTCCCCCAGAAATCGCCTTGCCATTCATATACAAGCAAGGCCAAGTCAAGGGCCGCGCTGCTGCCACTGACAACCAGCGTCTTGCCATCGTGCGCGACGGGCGTATATGAGTGACAGCACACTCTGGACAGAGGGAACTCGATCCGCGCTGCCGGAACTTCGATCCACTTGGTGCCATCAAGGCGGAAGGTGTGGTGATCGTTCCCACGGCCCAACGGTTGCGAAAGCAACAGGAGCCTCCCACTCAATGCCATTCTAGTTCCGAATGATCCGAAGTTGGGGGGAGGATCGTCAATGTGGACCACCTGCTTGTTGACAAATCTCCATGACTTCCCGGCAGACATGAAGGTGTAGATGATCACTGGCACCTGATTGGGCGCCTGAGATTTATTCGCTCTGAGGGCCTCTACAGTCACCGCAAGCCCTCTGCTCAGCGCGGAGAAGGAATGCCAGGTAGATGGACTGGGGGTTTTGATGTTCTGGGCTACGAGAAGTTCTGTCAAATTGGCAGCGGTTTGCCACCCTGTAGCTGATCGCCTGTAGATCAAAGCGTCATTGATGTGCGAAGAAGCGACACCTTGTTGATTGTCATACCATCCGGCCAGCCACCACGACATGAGGACAAACTCGCCTGCTGCGCCTGCAGATGCCCTGAGCGATATTTGTGCGGAAACCCCGGTCGCCTCATGTGAGGTCGCTGATGTGAGCGCTTGAGACGCGTGAGGTGCCTCCACACTTTGTCCAGTCCACTCCGAGGCCGACGTACATGGCCTCAAGGCACGTCGCCGCCAGGGCCTCTGCCGGCGATCCTTGCCTAGGTTGGCCTTCAAGCCCTCTGAGCAAGATTCCTAGAATATGATTTGTTAAGGTTTAGGGTTTAGGGTTTATTCTAAGCCCAAGAGGGGAAGAATAGAATATGCCAAGGGCACCTAGTTGCTGACTTGCAAGAAGCAGCTCTCTGGTTCCTTCGCCGCAGCCGACAGCCCAACGAAAGCCACGAGCAGCCACATGGCTGGCAGGTCACACCGCAACTTGGGCCGTTGCCAAGAAATGCGGCGGTGTATCCTTCTGCTTAAGGGGCTGGGTAGACTCCAATATACTTGACTGCACTTAGGAGGGTAGCTATAAATGAAGTTTTTAGCTGCCTTACTAGGAAAGCCAAAAAACCCCAAAAGGCGAAGGATCTAAAGTTACAGTAAAGCACCACAAAGATATGAGGCAGCATCCCAGGATCCCCCTTGAAGGGGCTGGGTTTAGGGTTTAGGGTTTAGGGTTTAGGGTTTAGGGTTTAGGGTTTAGGGTTTAGGGTTTCGGGTTTAGGGTTTACTGGAGGCAGCATCCCAGGCTCCCGGCCCCCAGGACGCTGTGGCCTGATGGAGCGGGCTTCGGCCCCTAAGCCCTGAATATAGGGGCCTGAATAACTTGGGTTTAGGGTTTAGGGTTTAGGGTTTAGGGTTTAGGGTTTAGGGTTTAGGGTTTAGGGTTTAGGGTTCAGGGTTTGGGGGTTTAGGATTAGAATAAGGTTTTGGGGGGGTTATTAAAGTATAATTCTAAAGGGACCCTAAGGGAATACTTTGCCTATTTCGTCCGACCCCTGTATTCTACCCTTGAGGAGATTGGGCAGCGTACATAGGGGGTCATCTGCTTGCACCTCCCGCAGCCGTTAATGGCTGGGCCTTTGTGCGACCTGTACAGAGCTCACCCTAAACCCTAAACCCTAAACTCTACACCCTAAACCCCAAACCCTAAACCCTAAACCCTTGAGGGATAGTTTGATGGAACCTCGAACACCTCCTGCGCGGGTTGAGGGGTCGCAGTTTCTCTTGTTCAGAACAGTTCTTGGCGAAAATAGCTGCTCCCACATAAGCCCTCGTTACATCCTTCCATATCCTTTAGGAGTGACGTTGCATCCTGTACCCCACCTGGGAACTCCCTTTCTGAAACTCTCATGAATCTTGGGTACTGGATCTGTGAGTCCCGAACTGTACCCTAAACGCAGACACGCCCTGATCTTGGTGGATTTCACCTTAAGCAGTCAAGGTTGCTAGACCCTAAATCCGAATAAGTCCTCAAAACGGGTCATCTGGGGAAAAGGTCGTTCAGGTTCTAAGTAGGGGCAGTGGGCTTCTCGCGAACCCCATCCAAGCCCATGCAAGCGCGATACTGAAACCACCCTACTAGTGATAGAGAGCCCTGAAACCATGAAAGCCTAAACCCCCCCTACCCCCCTCCGAAAGCCCGAAACTCTCAAGCAATCCGTGCACAAACTCGCAATCGAAGTTTTAGCGCAACCCCATCCAGCACCCAATGCCGAAAGCACGCTCCCAAAGCACGTAAACCCCTAGGTACCCCTGAACACTCACACCCTATAGAGCCCAAACCCTCACCCCCCCGCCCCCACCCAAACTCTAAACCCTATTCCCCCCCCCCCCCCCCAACAAAAAAAAAAGAGAAAAAACATCGCCCTCTCCCCCTTGACCCGGCCGAAGCAGGGCAGCAGCAACTGCAGCTTGTCAGCCGCCAGTGATAGGCCTTGGGAGGCAGTGGAGGGCTCTTGGAGCTAAGAAGTGGCCCAGCAGAAGCTGTTGGGTTTAGGGTTTTGGGTTTAGGGTTTAGGGGTTAGGCGTTAGGGTTTAGGGTTTAGGGTTAGGGGTTAGGTGTTTAGGGTTTAGGGTTTAGAGTTTTATGGTTTAGAATCCCTAAACCCTAAACCCTAAACCCTACTTGGAGGTTCAGTCGGGTACTTGTAGGTAGGGTTATAAGTAGAGCAACCGTGGTTACAACCTTTTTCGGGGTACTTGTAGCCTGCGTATAAGTATCCATGAACCTTCAAGTAAACCCTAAACCCTAAACCCTACACCCCTATGCTTTGCGATGCAGGGTTTGTATGGTTTTGGAGAGTCTTGCAGTTTTTTGGGATTTCGGGCTTTTGGCCTTTCGGGCTTTAGAGCCCGAGCAGTTTAGGGTCTTAGGTGTTTATGTAGAGGTTTGCTTTTCTTGGAGGCGTCGGGGTTGCTCCTTTTTTTGGTTAGGTGTTGGGGGCTTTGGGGCCTTTGGGTGTGGGGCTTAGGGATTAAAGGGCTGCTGGGGTCTTCAAGGGGGTTCTAGTGCAGGTTCCCCTGTAAGCTAGGAGCAAGAACGTGCTCCCACACATGAGGTTCATAAAGGATCCCGTGACAGCCCTAAGCGAACAGGGATCAAGGGTACAGGGCTGAAGGGCACTACTATGATTACTTCGCTATGAAGTAGCATAGAAGCCCTAAACGCTAAACCCGAAACCCTAGACCCTAAACCCTAAAAGGTTTAGGGTCCGAGGTTTAGCGAAAGCTCCCCGAGTTGGGGATTCTAAACAAGCCCGCACGCGGAGAACCTAAACCCCAAAACATTACAGCTAGGGTTGAGGGCTTAGGGCTTAGGGTACCAGAGAATTGGGGTTTAGGGTTTAGGGGTTTGGGGTTTAGGGTTTAGGGTTTAGGGTTTCGGGTGTGCGGCCTGAGGGTCTCGCCTTCTGGCTTTCTTGGGAAAGTGAGGGTTTCTTGGGAAAGTGAGGGGGGGGGGGGGCGGGGGAGAGAGGGTGGGGGGGCCGTTCTTGGTGCCCTACGCCCTAAATATGCCATTCATGCTGTGCTGCAGTACTAGATCAGGTCTGTGTCATGTGAGAAAGAGGTCGACGAACATTTGACTCATGAAACTTGTCAAGAGCGCCCCAACAGCCCAGGTAGTCCAATCGGCAGACCTTCCTTGATGTCAGCAGCTGAAACGGGCACTGCGCGTTTGCTCCGAGACTATAGGGTTTAGGGTTTAGAGTTAAGGGTTTAGGGTTTAGAGTTTAGGGTGATCGGCCGCATAACCAACCGGGTCTTGGCCCCCCATATATGACCAGAAGCACGTCCCTTGAACATGGTCGGGTCGCCATCCTGGGAGCGTCATCCCCTCCCTTCCCCAACGATTCAAGGGAGTTGTGCTAGGCCTGTTCGGCGATGCTATGCAATATTTATATTTATATTTATATTTATATTTATATTTATACTTATATTTATATCTATATTTATTGATATATATATATATATATTTTTGTGGTTTCCCCTGACTACGTATTATGATAGCGGTAGTTATATCCCAAACGCAACCATGTTGGGGGATTTAGGACGCTAAAAAGTGCTCGTTTTCTACTTGGCGCATGCAGTCGTTCGTGGGTCAACAGTCCAAATCTGTCCGAAAACACGGGACCCCAAATATAGTCCCCCAAATAGCAGGATTCGCTTATAATCTGGACCCCAATAAGGTTGAATATAGGACCCCCGCATATCGTGATTGGTTGTAGGTTGTTGTTTCCTTATAAACAGGACCCCAATAAGGTACCCCTAAACCCTAAACCCTAAACCCTCAACCCTAAACCCCAAACCCTTTCGGATAGCTCAGGGGTCGAATCGCGATGCCGAGCTGCGCTGCGCAGCGCTGCGGGAGGTGTCGAGCTGAGCACGCTGATGACACAGCGACTGGATGCACAGCGCCTGGGGCTCGTGACTTGGACCCTAAACCCTAAACCCTCAACCCTATCGACCCTAAACCCTAAGTCCTACACCCTGGGCGACGCACGCAAGCCCAAGTATCAGTCTTATCCTCAATGGATGATTGGTGTTAGGTCGGTTTAGGGTTTAGGGTTTAGAGTTTAGGGTTTCGGGTAGGTGCTATAGTCCTTTTTTCATGCTCCGCAATGTTGCAGCCCGAAGACCGTCATAAACACTCCGTTTCAGAGCTCTCGCATGTTTAGGGTTTAGGGTTTAGGGGTTCGGGTTTAGGGTATGAAGCACCAGAATACGGAGCAACGTATCGTTCGCAGTTTGCAGCCGGCGGGTCCAAAACAATCCAGCTACGGCCACTGCACGCTGTGTAGGGTTTAGGGTTTGGAATAGGCTTAGGGTTTGGAATTTAGGGCTTAGGGTTTGGAATTTAGGGTTTAGGGTTTGGAATTTAGGGTTTTAGGGTTTTCAATTTAGAGTTTAGGGTTTGGAATTTTGGGATAGTGCAAGCCTCTTCCTCGCCTCAGTTGTCGTCAGCATTGCTTGTATGGCCTTGGGCTTCATCCATCACATCCTAAACCTAACCCTAAACCCTAAACCCTAAACCCTAAACCCTAAACGCTAAACCCTAAACCCTAAACCACGGGGAGCTTGGTGCGACTTCATAGAAGGCTTTGCAGATTATGGCTTCTCAGGCCCTTTCCAGCAGTGCGTTCCAGCGCGTCATCAATTTCCAAGGGAGCACGGGGAATCTGAAGTCGGTGTCGCGAGCTTCGACCCTTTTGTTTTGCCAGGCAGGGCGCCCGAAGGTCGGCGCTGTGGGCAGTTTAGGGTTTAGGGTTTAAGGGTTTAAGGGTTTAAGGGTTTAAGGGTTTAAGGGTTTAAGGATTTAAGGGTTTAAGGGTTTAAGGGTTTAAGGGTTTAAGGGTTTAAGGATTTAAGGGTTTAAGGGTTTAAGGGTTTAAGGGTTTCGGTTTAAGGGTTTAAGGGTTGGCTTCGGGGATCTTCAAGAGACACTTCCGGCTTAATTATTTGTCCCTAAACCCCGAACATCCCCCAAAGGTCTAAAACCCTAAGCCCAAAGGGGATTCAAGGAACCCTAAAACCCTAAATCCCTCTTGGTACCACGTGCACTGACTTTGCAGGCACGTAAACTTGGGCTTGCGGGTTCAGGGTCAATGTCTAAAGTCTGCATCCATGATGCACACTCTTGTACAGCACTGTGGATCTTGAATACCAGTTCAAGGTTTAGGGTTTAGCGATTAGGAAACTGAGGATTGCGGGTTCTCGCCGACTAGCAAGCTAGGGGTGAGGGTCGGTCTTCAAAACCTTCAACTTGGGATTTTCCCTCTGATGCTAACAGTCCTGGTCCTTAATCGGGATTCTAAGAAGGGGTACTAGAATCCCTGACTGTTTTACAAGGCGGAACATCCCAACCTTCAACCCTCCCCCTAAACCCTAAACCCTAAACCCTAAACCCTAAATGC